TTTAGTTGAAAATTATAACGAAATAACTATATGTATAATTCAACTTCACTCCCCTCCCTTATATCTAATATGGTTATATTTTATTATTTTTTATTATAACATTGGTTACAAACAACACAAAGTTATACTGAATTGGCTTCAATAGAATTTATGTTAAGGGTCATCGATAGAAATCCACAATATAACAATTGGTTATAAAAAAATTGAATAAAAAATCCTCTCAGTATGATTTTGTAGAAGGTTTAAAGCTATATATATATGTTATACTTATCCATATATATTAAAAAGTAAGGTCCAAGGTCCAAGGAAGATATTTCGTAAAGTAAATAATGTTTAATATTTATATTAAAACGAAATTTTATAATGAACAATAATTAATCAATTAATAAACACGTAATATTTATATATATAAGAAGTTTTTAAAGATAAAGTTTCTATATAATTATAAAGTAATTTATGGCATTATAATCAAACCATGTACACTTTAAAAAAAATTGTGTCTAATCTGTGTTATTACTTCTAGTAAGTAATATTTTTTGTCATAAGTTGCACTGATTATAACTAGGGATCAAACTAAATGAAGCTATTACAACTTTTAATGTTCTTTAAGCTATATAAGTCGCTTATAAGTTCTGAATCTACGAGTATGTAACATTTCCATGGACGCCGTACTCATGAGTACAACTGATTTATTTGAGTGTAAAAAACATTAAGATATAAGAAGGTTCTCTTAAGAATGTTTATCGACTGCTAATTTTAGTTCATTAATTGAGTTCATTTCAAAATATTTATATTTCTTTTGCAGTATGAATTCGAATTTTATTGTATTAGGAGAAAGGGAATTTTTCGTTATTTACACTAAAGATTTTCACAATAAATAAGTGATACGATAATTTTCAATATAAGTAAGTTTAGCGAAGTGTTAGTTACGAAATATCGTAGTAGCAACTTCGAATCCGGATCGTACATACGTGAAATTTAATTCTATATAAAATGTAAATTATGAAATGTAATTTGTGCATATAAAACCAAATCTTAAAGACCCTTTTATTCTAAGGTTTTTGTAAATATGCTTTAATTAAAGAAAAATATATTATGTCAAGTATAAACCACTCGAGTAATATTATTACATACTAGCTGCAAACTATTACCAGGCAAACGTTTTACCATATAAAAAAATAAAAACAAAAAATTTCGTCCGAAAATAAATAATTAAGGGTGAACAACCCTTATGACTTAGAGGTATGAAAACTAGATGTTGGCCGATTCTCAGACTTACTCAATACGCTCATAAAATATCATCAAAATCGGTCCAACCGTTTCGGGGTAGTTCTCTGTCGAACACCGCGAGACGAGAATTATATATATAAGATTTCACAATATTATAAAGAATTTTTTGTAAGGAACTTGCCTATGGGAAGTTCGTTTTAGTCGTATAAATTAACACCAAGCCGTGTGAACCAGAAGATTCCTGATGCCACACAAGCTATGGAATGGTATTGCTATCATAACATCGGAACAATCATGTAGTCTTAGGTGTAGGTTACGAGTTTTGACATGTAATTCTTATTTTAATATATAAGTCAGTTACGTAGTTCTTTTACCAGTTTCAAAAGCAAATTTTTCGTCTTGAAAAAGTGATTTTTTTATTTATATTTTATTGTAATACACTGCATTTAGAACGAATAAATTATTTATGAAAATCATTCAAAAAGTACAAATAATACGATAATATAATAAATGTTTTTCTATTCACCCCTTTTTAATCACTTCATATGTCACTCGTAAGGATTTTTTTTTTATTACACACTATTTATATTTAATCTGTGCACACGTATTTTATTCTGTAATTTTTTCTTAATTTTTCTTGATCTGTCAATAAGGTCAACTGGCAGGTAATTTTTGATGCGAATAAAAAAATAAATAAATTACGTAGGAAAAAAATAGGAAAAAAATATCCACTTTTACATATAATGGTTATCCATGGTTCGATCCTGACCCTGGCAAGTACCAATGCGATTTTCCCAAGTTATAATCTTGGAAAATACTAAGATTATTTAGACATCACTGATTTATGCATTCCCAAAAGGGGCTGATGTCAGGCAGGCGGCCGGTCGTAAAAACAATTAGCCAGAACTATTCACAACATGTAAGGCAGACCCTGGCTAAAGCTGGGAAATTGCCAGGTAGATGAAGACATGTAATGGTTATAATATTATTTGAAAATAAAAAATCTAATACATATACATATATATTTAATCTGTCAAAATATTTTCAAACGAATATGGAAGCATCTAGATAATTCTAGAATCTATTTCAGATATTTCAAGTCTTCGACAAATAAAGTCGATTTTGCACCGAAATACTTCATGTATTAAAGTTTGACTTGAACTGTCAGGAGTGGAAACCTTGGTGTGTCTTGGAAATAGAGGGACTGTTATAGAAATTATATTATTATAACACACACATATATATATATATATATATATTGATCTTTAAAATAGAATGCTCATTCAAATAGTTTTAGACGTTCTTTTTGCATAACTCTTATTAATTTAATACGTAAAAATTATTAGCTTTAGCATTTTTGACTGATTATACTTAATTTAAAAAAGACATTACTTAACTTTGATAATGTCTATTAAAAATTCTTTGGTTAATTTCTGTTGCATTACATACTCTGTTGTAAGACTGGATTTTGATTTATTTTTGTTTTAATTTTAATTGTCTTTATTTGTAATTATTAATTAGAAACTTATAATATTGTATTAAGCTCAATTTTTTTTATATATTGCTTGAATATTCGTTTATTTTTACGTGAGCATAAATGATAATAATTAATTACTAGTACTTTTTTAAATTCAAAATAGTTACTGAATAAAATAATTTCTTTTATTACAATGTAATGAAATCAAGACTATTTCTATAAATTTAAATGCAAATAGATGGTTATGCAAAGACACAATATTGGGGACAAGCGTTTGTGTGGCTCTCGTCTTCAAGGATTCGTTTAACTAAAGAAATTATCATAATAATATAGTATACTGAAAATTATTATTAAATAAGTAAACATTTTAAACTAACTGATAAAGTTTACAAACATTATCAGTACGTAAAATCAGAGAAATGTTTCGTAAGAATTTTACTAGGAAAGAAAAAAGAAGTATTTGAATACAAAAATGCGTGTAATATTTAAAATATTTAATATTCATAAACTGGGAAACTGAAGTAATATTTAATATTATATATCTTCACAAACTTCCTCTTGCACTACACCAGATGTGACTCGACTTTAGTCGAACAATGACTACAATACGGCTTTGTTCGATATATCTACTAATAAATAAATATTATAAAACTTTATATGTATATGTTTTTTATTGTTTGACAGAAAAATAACTGATTGAAGCTTTTACTTATCAATTTAATAATAAAATATAATAATAACGTTTGATTAATTTTAAATAATTTCAGATAATTACATCTTGGTTCGCAAAAATATCATGTTTTTCTTATATTTTTCTTAATATTTTTTATACTCTAACTGTGTCGTATCTCTCATCATCACAAGACCTTCGAAGCTACTGAGTTGAAAGCAGTCTTGATATGCATTATAACATAAGTATAATATAATATATAAGATATATATTAAAGTCTTCACAAAAAGCAACCCTCGGAGGCAAACCCATAAAACATCATTAGTCAGGAGACCTCGAATTTACAATCTGAAACCTTATTGATCGTAGAGCGAGACAGGGAATGTCCTTACCTACATAAGACAAGGATAAACAAACTCCCTAAGAGGATATTTATGTCCTTACTGTGATCCACTTTACTCAGATCTTTCTCGATTGCAACCTTAGCTGTATATAATGGAAGAAATAAAACGCCATTTACTGCACTAATGTCATTTGTTTTGATGAATACGTGGAATTATTTTCAAGATAAACTGTATAGTAGGTAATTTTATGAAGAAAATATTATTAACTGACGTAAATTGGGCAATAGTAACAAATTATCTCATATATAGAAACTTAATTATTCATTCATTTAATCCAGAATTAGGTTTAAAGAGGATAATAACTTGGGCTTTAAAAAATAATGCTTATAATCAACCAGTAGCGCCATCTATCGTTAGCTCCGTGTAACTTTACACATGATATAAATTTATTTGTTGCTAAAGCGGGATTTAATTAAAAAGCTCATAAATTATGATGCATATGAATTATTTTTCGCAGTTTCATAAAATATATATAAATAAAATGAAAAATTTAAGAAAATCAATCCATATGTACATATAATAAATACATTCTCAAATAAAAAAATGTTAGTATCCTAAGTCCTAACTGCCTTAAGTTTTGACAATGATTTTAAGATCTGTGATCTTTACATATAAATTTTTGAAATACTTTTTAAAGTATTCATTAGTTGTGAAAAATATTTTGTATTATTAAATTTAAAGACATTGTAGTTTAAATAAGTTCTTGGTTGATATTATACGTTCAATATTTATATGTGTAATTAATAAATATAGATTTTATTGCGTTAAAAATAAGTTAAAAATTTATTTATTTGCAAGAGGAAATACAATAGTCGTGTAAATTTACTCTTTGCGTAAAATTTGGTTCAAATAATTAATTATAATTGAATTATACGACATTAGGATATATATGCTAAGTACTTATTAATAAATGACTCCTAAAACTTAAACGAGATAAGATAGTAATTAAAAATACCTAAATAAGGATATTCCTGCTTACAGACGCTTCACGAGGTTGATCAAGATTAATTGCAATGTTTATGTCAACTAAATATAATACTCATTTTAAATTAAAGTAAGGGAAATATAATTATTTTATAGGGTTGATATTAGAATTCAATTAATACGCTTATATATGTACGCTCCGGCTTTGTTTTACCAATGAAGTAAGTACCTCTAAAGATTTGTCTATGTAGATAAGATGTATTTAATAAAACAAGCGCGTTTAACTACAACTTACCGCTTGTGACCCGAAGGGTGGTGGCGAGGAGACATAGCAGCGATAGTGACAAATATCTGAACTGGAGCCAATGTGCCGCGGCCATACTGTATCCTTCAACAAACAAATAACTGCAAATAAATCTGTAATTAAATATTGTATTACAAGCAATAAACTTTAGTTTTGTAGAGAACAAATAGTATGTTATCAACAGCGCCATCTAACGAGGGGTGGAATAACTACGTTAAGAGGTTAGGGAAAGCCCTTTCCATTTAGTTCTAAGCAAAACACATAGATGGTGCTGTTTAAATGAAAAAACGAATTTTCCGTCATTTCAAACATTCATTTATAGCTAACTAGCTTTTGTCTGCAACTTCTTTATGGTAGAGGTTGGACTTTATGTCTAAATATATTTAATACTTCTTTTGTCTCATAATAAGCAACGTAATCTCAAAATGAAAATTATAGTTTTGATACATCTTGCATTTACAATTATTACTACTATTATTTACAATTATTACTACGTATTGTATTTACAATTCACTGTCAATATATGTATTGTATTGAACATAATACATCTTGCTTTGATTCTGCAGTTTTCTTATATGAATAAAGTTACATAAAAAGGTTTTTTTTTTGCTTCAAAAACCCAAAACTTTATTTTTAATATTAATAATATGAAAAAAATATATGTTTTATATATGATCATTATTTTGAAAGTAAAAGCACAACACACAGTGTGTGCGTTTTTATAATATTTTATGCCATTTAACTAAAAAAACGTATTATAGTTAGGAATTAAGTATTTTTTTACATTCTACTACATCTAAATGTTGTAATATAATATTTTTCTACATACCATATCGTCAACATGAGTGCTATCGCTGCGTTAGTTCGCTGGCCACGAAATTACCTGGAACCATAACGTTTATATTTCTAAATTCCTTATATGTATGTGTATGCATGTATATATTTATAAACGAATTATATACAGTGGTGACCAGAGGTTCCAGGAAAACTACGAAACTTACTTACTTATATGTACATATATTATATTAAGAATAACATATTAAAACATAATCAATTTCTTTATTTTTTAAAGTGTAGCACGTAGGTATCAAATGAGACTAATATTTTCATCTCGTCTGCTAGTGACCACGGTTACTGCAAAGAAACTAAATATCGGGAGTATGTAGTTTAATAATAATAAACAGCGTATGTAGTAATCCGATAATATTAGTTTCATTTGAATGAATACTCGCGAATTTCTTAGAGCTCTTTACAATGTACACAAAAAAATACTTATAACTATACTCTAAGTAGTTTAGACGTTTTTCCATAGCGCCCTAAGGAAAAATTTACTATTTTACACTACTTGTTTTACTAATTAGTTATAAAAAAAGGTGGATTAAAAAAACAGTATATACAAATCAGCGTTTTGCCTGAAGGTACACATTTTTTCATATCTTATTTTAAAATTATATTTTATAAATTAATATCTTAGTTAAAAACGAAATCTTTTTTTCTAAACGAATTGAAAGTCTTAATTACTTTACAGTAATACTATATATTCATTTATATTCAGTTTCTAATACAAGTCATTCATGTCACAAAATAAGCATTACATACTTTATCATACTACAAATAACGAAATAAATATTATATAAACAAAATGTTAAGAAGAATTTTAGTGTTAGATAATTTGGTATAAAGAAATATGACAGAGAAGTAAAGAGTAGATAGTTTCTGTAATGGTAGTTTTGCTGTGAATTTATAATCCAAGATTATGCATATTTTCTAAAGGTCAAAGATTAAATTGTGTTGTATCTTATTATACGTTGAATTGTCTTAAACATGGTATTAGGTATTACATTCTGTTTGGTTAGCTCTGGTAATGACAATGCAATAATTCGTTAATTTCCCATTACCCTTGTTAGGGCCGCCAGGATTAATATATTCTTTTCATAGATCCTCTATGAGAAAGGGACAGAGCTAGTGTGCGATCTGCGCATGTCCACAAAAAATAAATGATAAATCTTACTAAAAAAATATAAAATAAATTAAAATAAAAAACTAAACAAACACGCTTGGGGTGCTTGACATATGAGAGGTTATACAATCATTCTATTGGCAACTTTCTATGAGTGGAGAGTTATGGAAATGAAGTAAAAATTTAAATGCACCCTACGTCTTTCACTCTGAATTTAATAACGCTATTTGTAACTTAAATTTTATTATAATTTTATTTTGAAGTAATTAACTATACCTGATTGATTGTTAAACCTTTTGCTACGGTAATATAAACTGTTTGTTATTAAAAAATATTTTTATGTTTTTAGTTCGCTTTGATATAAAAGGGTGTTTTTTATTTTTTTTTAAACTATTATTTTTTTAGAACGTACTTCGAAGGCAGCCCTAGTAGGGTCGTTTCAAATTTGGTTAGGTAGAGAGAAGAGCTTGGATGGTGATGAGCGTTAAAAATATATATAAAAATAATTATTATTATTATTACAGAACATTTAGAATGTACATAAAATAAACCTATATATATTATACATATTACAGAAGGTCGTATATTATATTATGAATATTATTTATATATATTTTATTCCATATACATTTTTTATTCTGTATAATTGATTACCCCATTTGCTATTTCAAAATCAAAGACAATTTCCCACTTCATTGCTTCACATTACGACTGACTGCGTAGCGCTACGGCCGCTACGGGTGCTACGGGTGCTACGGTCATTGCTACGAATCTCTTTCACTCCTCTTTCTATTTGTTAGTAATCAGTTAGAATATTGTTAAATTCCGAATTATCGTTAAATAAAATATATACAACTTAACACTATTTATTGATTATATAAATGAAATACAAGTTTTATTGACATATTTACAAGACAACATTATTATGAAAATAACTCTTTATGAAAATAAAGAGTTATTTTTACTAAGAGCAAAGTCACGAGCAAAATATAGTTGATACATTAAATACGGAGTGTTGTTTGTAATATTTTAATAACTGTTTTTTACTACATGTATATGAATATGTATACGGTACAAATACCAAAATAACATTTTTTAAAATTTTTATCTGTCTGTCTGTTTGTTCCCGCTAATCTCTGAAATGGCTGGACTGATTGTGACGTACTTTTACTGGCAGGTAGCTGATGTAATAAGAAGTAACTTAGGCTACTTTTTATCCATATTGAGTATTATGACGCGAGAGTGGTATTGAGGACGCACGCGGCGTTGAAAAGGTTTTACACTGTTTATATTTTCCTTTTCTATTCAGACGCAGTCGCGGGTAACAGCTAGTTTCATATAAATATATAAGTTACCCGTCATATGCAAAGCTACATATTATGCATATCATGCTGAACTTTACCATTTACATTTCTATTCCATTTACATGCAATGCATGCACTCTGTCGTCTGTACACATGAATAATGCATATGCATGCTAATGATGGCTAAGTCAGTGGTGGTCTAGTGGTTAAGGGGCCCACCTCCCGTTGCCGAGGGAACGGGTTCGATCCTGGCAAGTACCAATGTGATTTTTCCGAGTTATATGTACTTTCTGAGAGTATTTAAACATCACTGACGGACGGTGAAGGAAAACATCGTGAGGAAACCTGGACTTATAATTTCACAATTATAAGTTTGAAATCAACAACCCGTCTTGATCTAGCGTGGTGATTAATGCTCAAACCTTCTCCATGTGAGAAAGAGGCCTCTCAGCAGTGGGCTCTGATAGGCAAAAAAATTGCTAATGATTATATGCTAATGATATAAATAACAATCCTTAATTCACTGCTGTGTAAATTAAGGAAGCATAATCATTTATTACATGAAAACCTTATGCATTATTATTCCTATTGTTAATACAATCAAATTTAGTTATAAAATGTTCCCTTAATATTTGGGGTTTTAAACAATTAGATTTCAATTATTAACTTCAATTAAAACCAACAAATTTGTATTTATTATTTTAAATATAAACTTTATTGTGGTACATTACAATATTTGATAAAATACAAAATTCACAGTTTCGTTAAAAACATGATACGCGTCTGTAGCAATGAAATAATCATATTGAAACAGGGATTTTTCATACAACTTATTATTAATTCTATTATATTATAGTTTTTTTAACGTCGGGATAATGTCCCCACCTATCGCATGTCGCATTACAGCAAGCTGAACAGGAGAGGTTTTAAAGATAGCTCGCTTTGTATTAATTGCTCAATGCTCAAAAAAATATGATGCTTTATTTATAACGTGCGTCTATCATCTCAATATAATTAGAATGTATTCAATATTTTCAAACGCAAATTCAAATAAGTATTTGCACATATCTTTTGTTTTTTGTTTCTCATTATTAAGTTATAAAAACTGTATCGTCAATCGAATATAATTTTTTTTTTCATTCATATAACAACGCTCCGTCAAAAGGTTTTCAACAATTTCTTCATCATTTCAAAGAGGTAACCGATACTTATTGTTGATATGAACTTGCAAGTGGCTGTGCAAGAGGTTTTATGCAGGTGACACCTGATTGGTTTTACATCCATAATTATAAATTACATTAGTAAAAGGCATTCGCGCCGATACATAATTCTTCTAGTTCTAGATAATGGCGTGACTGAGAAAATAATATTCCGATTATTTTCTTACAGTATGACATATTTCCTATATTAATAGAAACTGAGTGAAATATCTCTATTGCTATATCAGCAATTTCTGCATGCTTAATACAATTTTGCATAGACAGACTACATACAAAGAGTTTCCCGTTTCTCACTCAATAACCTACGTTAATACTTATAATATGTGAAGATATATGAATGAAAAACTAAAAAAAACTCTGTACTTATGTACGACGCACGCTTATGGTAACTTTTTTGTGCTTTAATGTACTACATTATTCATAATTCTTTGTACACAATCATTAACAACATTATTTATTAATTAATTTAGACCCAGCTTCACCAAACTCTGTTTGTTATATCAAAACGAGATTAACTAGCGAACCTTAATGACAGTTTGCTTTGACTGTGAGAATCGTGCTAAGTATATTAAAACAGGGATTAATTTTTATTCGTAGTATTTCTGATTGATTTTTATATATATTAACCGAACTGTCATGTCAAGATATTTCAGCCTCGGAGCTTGGTAAGTATTGTATAATTCATTATTAGTACCTATCAATCCTTACTAATATTATAAATGCGAAAGTAACTCTATCTGTCTGTCTGTCTGTTACGCTTTCATGCCTAAACCACAGAACTGATTTTAATGAAATTTGGTACAGAGATAGAGTTGATCTTGAGAAAGAATATAGGATAGTTTTTATACCAGACTTTTGATAAGTTCTCTTGGAAACGCGATATAACCGAACTCGACGGGGGCGAAGCTGCGGTCGGAAAGCTAGTGATTAATAAGAAGTCTAATATGTAGTTTTTTACTAAAATAAATCACGTAGTATATCCGATAAATATTAGTTTCATTTAAACTAAACAAGCAGGGCTTAACTATGACTGAATACAAAGCTATCTTTAAGTATTTGTAAGAAAAGATTTTCTCATTCAAACGTAGCCAAAAATATTACCGCCAGCCTTATCTCTCCATAGGATTTGTGGCTTGAGGAAGGTTAAATTACGACTGGTAAAAGAACAATCGTAAATCCGAATAAAATATATCTTTTACCCAATTTACGGACTTAGTTTGAAAAATATGTTAAAATTCCCTTCATCTTGTATTATTTTTTTGTAATATATACATATTTGTAATAGATGAAATCGTTAATTCAAAGCCATAATATCTAAATATATTTTTTTGTATTTTATAATCATATATAAAGAAAATATTATGACAAAGAAACTCGAAATTTATTCCAATGTTTTTGTTAAATTTTAATATCGTTTTTTTTTTTTGCTTAGTGTATTGTAAGTTGTTACATTCATTTAAATGAAACTAATATTTTTCGTATATACTACGCTTGCTTTATTTTTGTAAAAAACTACATACTCCCGACGTTTCGGTTACTTTTCAGCACATCTCGTTTGCCAGTAATCATTGTTTCTGAAAAATAACTATTATAAAAAGTAGGAATATGTAGTATTTTTACAAAAGTAAAGAATTGAATAAAACTGTTATTTTTTGTTGAAATTAATATTTCGCTATTTTTTTTTTTCATCGTTTTTTAAATGTAACTTAACGATGTACGTAACGAGTGATCCTTTTCTTATAGTAAAACAATGTCTAATTATGAAACTATTTTATTTTATACTCCATATTTTTGTTTTCTTAGTCCATATTTTATGTACATATTTTAGATTTTTTAATACATATTTTTCCGGGCCCTACTCATTATGTTCTTGTATATTTTTATCATATTCTTTCATTAACTGCAGTTCTTTTTAAAGATAATATTTCAGTGTTGTTGTAATATTAATTTATGGTACATCTGAGTGCTGGCTTCATGACCTAGTTGTAAGATAGTCATTGTGCAGCTGAGTACCATCTCTTAAGAAGCGAGCCTTTTTACTAGACTTATAGCCTCGCTCTATAAACTTAGTTTCCTTGGATGAAATTAGCTTTGAATAAAAATACAGGTATCGAAATATGTAAGGATATTTGTAATTTATTGTTATATAGAATTAAACATGATAGCTTGAATATTACTTAGTTATAACATCAGGCAAAGCGGGAAACCAGTGCTTGTATTGTTATAATTACATCATTATATATAAACGTTCAAATTTTTTAACTTATCTTTGGTTTTGGACGTAAAATTTGAGAATTTTCACGATAACAAAATTAAAATAGCAATTTATAATTTATATATAACTTACATAAAATGAATTTAATAAGCCTATTAGATGTTACAAATAATCAAGTATATTAATTTGTATCTTTCAATTTTTATTTTTTTCGTTTTTAAACTTGAATAAAATCGACGTAGCTGTTGATAAAAAAAGATGAAAAGCACTTAAATACCATTCTCTCTGATAGTAGGTGAAAATAAAGATAATAATGGTAAATGTACGATCCTATATAGCCCATACAATCTTGAAGAAAACTAAATTTTAAGCGATAGGAAATATAGACGCAGGAAAACTATTGCAAACCTTGGCTATACATAAGAAGGAAAGAATAATATAACTTCTCCCGAATATGAAGAAGTTTTAGAAAGGGAGAACAAAATATTGAGTTTCTCTATACATCTATTTATCCACTAGTAAAAAGACACTTGTCAACATGTACTCTATAAAACAACAGAGTTTATACCTGTAATTAAAGATCAAAAAATTGGCTTAAACCAAATCATGGTAACCAATAAGTCCTTATGCACGTCTCTCCAAGAAGATCAAAACTTTGATGTGGCATTTGGTAACCAGTCCAAATATGACAACGGTATTCCAAAGAACGGTCCTCTGTTTTGTAGAAACAAAAAAGCGGCCTCGGCGTGAAGTGCTGCGTTCTTTTGAATAAATTTTTGCAATTGCTTTCAACAATCATAATATTAATAGCGTCAAACTTTTTTATAAAATATAATCTATGAAGTTTATCAATATATAATAAATATATATTATTGTTTTGTAATTTCATCTTATACTTTATAGAGTATACACACACACATACACATATATATGTACAATATATATCAGATTCTTTTTTATTCGTAAAATTTCTCCATCATAGTTTTTCTTTTAGTATGAATTGAGAAAGCCTCTTTATTTCTA